ATAATATATATTGAAGTAAATCTAACCAAAGAGGTAAAACACTTGTGTACCAATAATAAAAGAAGAACTGTAAGACACTGAAGAAAAAATTGAAGATGATACCAGAAGATAGAAAGACCTCCCATGCCCATGGACTGGTAGATTTAAAATTGTGAAAATGGCCATCCACCAAAAGCAATTTACAGATTCGTCAAAATTGCTATTAAAATTCCAACACAGTTGTTCATAGAAATGGAAAAAAGTAATCTCCAACTAAATATGGAAACATAATACCAGAATAACCAAAGCAATACTGAACAATGAAAGAAGATATGGAGGCATCACCATTCCTGGCTTCAAACTATACTGAAAATCTACGGTAATTAAAACAGCTTGGCATTAAAAACAGATACATTGATCAATGAACTAAAACAAAAGATCCAGATTTAAGTGCACAAACTGATTTTTTTATATAGGACCTAAAAATATACATTTGAGAAAAAATAGTATCTTCAACAAATGGTGCTGATTAAACTAAGAGCTACATGTGTAAAAATGGAGCTAGATCCCTATCTCTCATCATGCACAAAACTCACATCTAAATGGACCAAGATCATAACATAAGACCTGATACCCTGAATCTGCCAAAGGAGAAAGTAGGGAATATACTGACACTTATTATCACAGGAAAAGACTTTCTGAACAGGAGCGGGATAGCTCAGACATGAAGACCAACAAGAGACAAATGGAACTTTATGAAACCAAAAGCTTCTGTTCATCAAAGGACACTATTATTTGAGTGAAGAAACAGTCTACAGAATGGTAAAACAAACAAATAACCAAACAAAAAACAACTAAAAAACAAAACAAACCAAAAATCCTTTATTAGCTGTATCTCTGATAGAGGGTCTGTAATATAGTATCTAGAATATACAGAAATAAAAAAGTAAACATCAAAAAAATCAAACGACCCAGTTAAAAACTGGAGCAAGGAACTAGACAGATTGTAAAAGTGAAATACAGTGGATGGAGAGATGGCTCAGCAGCTTAGAGCACTGGCTACTCTTCCAGTGGACCCAGGCTTGGTACCCAGCACCCACATTACTGCTAACAGCTGTCTGTAACTCCACAGTTTCAGGGGATCAAATGTCTTCTGGCATCCACAGGCATTGCACACACTGGTGTACTTACATGCATGAAGGCAAAACACTTAAATATATAAAATATAAACAAATTGATAAGGTTTTTACATGAAATTGGAGTTTAATTAAAATCACAGCAGTGGTACATTTGAGAAACAAATAAACTCTTCGGATTATTAACTTTGAGAATCTGAGTGTCCCCAAATGTTGGACCTATCCCCCTTATTTCTGAGACATCAACCACCACCAAGGGTTCACACCCAGCTCTTCACATTGTGTAGCAGAAAACAAGGAAGTTCTGCAGGTGTCCCTCCTTCTAAAACATCCTCACAATAGGGTCCTTTCAGGGTTCAAAAGGAAAACAAACCACTTCCTTTTCCAGCCAGTGGGAACTTGAGCTCTTACTAAGAGGCATCACCAGTAAGAGTAAACTCTCTTATTAAGAGAATTTAGGTAGGTACCCAGTCCTACCATAAGTTCTCAGGACACCAGTGGCTACCTGTCTTCCTCTGTGGAGATAGATGCACAAGCCTGTCAGGGAGCCCCTCTCCTGGGATCCCTGTGCTAGTTCACAGTACCAGTAGAGAGGGATGGAGAGGAAGAGGAACCAGAGCAAAGGGTGATGGGAAGGAGCAAAGCTTTCTCTAACAACTCACGGCAAGGCAGTGTGGCCTGGTTTCAGAAACCACCTACTCCACACTCCAAAACCTTGAGGGGCAGGTAAGAGCTCAAAACAAACTACAGGAGACAGAAGACAGTAACAATGGCAGACTGGCCTATGGATTTTTTTTTTTTTAAACCTTCCTAACACTGGAAGATGTTTTATTAAAAATGTTGCTGCTCAAAATTGTACTGAAAACTTATCTAAAAATAGGTCTGTAGTCATCTTAAAAATAAAAGGTCACTCCTCAGAAGGAGGAGCAACAGTTATTATCAGATACCAACATATAAGGTATCTTGGATGTAGATTTGAAAAATGGTCTGGCAGAGGAAAGAGAAGGAGACAGAAAGAGGGAAGGATGGAGATGGAGGGGGCAGAGAGAATTCAGAATATAGTAAGAAGGGCAAGGAAACTGGGGGGAACACATTTTTTTAGCCCATGCTTATCTAGCTCAGCAGCCAACAAAGCAGATTCAAAAGGGGGTCGGGGAGGGTATGTAGTTATTTTCTAAGAACATCATTTTGGAAATCAACTTTAAACTCAGAGAGAAACTACAAGATGCTAGGTATCACAAGGTCCACTGATTTGAAAATCGTTGACTGCTGAGGCGGCTACTTGTGATCTGGTGTTCTTCAGAGGTCACTCACTGCTTGGTGCTCTCAGGCCTTACCCACCAGGCAGAGACCAAAATCACTTTGAATGACCTGCTCTGGGCGGACACATCACCCAGGGAGCTGCAAGACTCTGCCAGCGAGCAGCAGGCAGGGAGGATGGCAGACAGACTAAAAGTAGCTAAGACTCTGCCACCAAGGGCTCCCTTCTGGTATAGATATTTAAAAATGTCTGTACACATGCATTAGGTAAAGGAATGGGGAGACGAGCTACCACACTAAACAGATGCCACTCCTCCCAGAGGAGAGAAGGGAGGAGGACAGGAATGCTGGTGGAGGTGTACAGCTGTGCCCTGTCCCTAAGGACAAACACCTCAAAGGAAGAGGGCAAGCAGCTCACTTATTGTTTATCATCCCCCCTACTAGTTTTAAAGACTCCAAACCCAACACTAAATCGACAGTAGGATGCAAGGAGGGAAATAAACAGGGCAATGATGCTCTATCTGGTCTCCTCTCTGTCCCCAGCCACCCAGCCAGGACACTGTTCAGAGACTCATAGTAGATCTGGAACGAATCTGAAGGGGGCAAGGAGCATTCTTGAGAAATGACCAGGGCACTACAGTTAACTGTTTTCCTCTATGGGCTGCTTAGTTCTACAGAACACTTCCAAGGGCTTCAACCTAACCTGGTAACTGGGCAGGGGGTAGGAGGCAGGGAGAAGGAATGGTCGGCAGGAGCTCATCTTCCCAACATTTGGCACCCAAGGGAGGGGAGGTGGAGACTGCCCTGGGGCCTGCTGGAACTGCCTCTTCTTTTCACTGTGATCCTATTGGCCAAATCAGGTGAGCACAGGACTCCGTGTTGCTGCTTTCCTCTGCTCTCTGCAAGCGTCAGATGTCCATCTCAAACTGAGCATCATCCCCTAGTTAGGAGGAAGAAAAGGCATTTAGCACAAAAAGAAAAGGCAACATATTCTTACTGTCTTTATCTGCAAAGGCAAAGCTAACACAAACACCCCATTCCTAGTGCCTCATGACACTTACTTGCCTGGCAGTGTGGACCGCACCTGGAATATCAGTGCTCAGGAGGCCAATGTAGGAGACTCCTGAGCCTGAGGCAAGCCTGGGCTGTTACATAGCAAGATCCTGCCTCAGCAACAAAAATGGCTTTTATGCATCTATTTTGGTGAGGAGGGGAAGGAGTGGTCACACGGGGGAAAGGACACAAGGGAACTTCCTCAGCTGCTTTTCCCACAGACTGCCTACACTGCAGCTCCTGGTCACTAAGATGAACACTCTGCTGGAAGCTTTGAACCTGGGTCCTGCTCTGAGCTGACACCTGCAGTGGGAGGTGACAGTTCACACTCATAATTCAGGTACTGGGGAAGCTGAGGCAGGATGACTGTCCCAAGTTTTGAGGCCAGCCAGAGATTTATGGTGAGTCCCAGGCTAATCTTCACTACAGAGTGAGATCCTGTCCCAAGAAAAACTAAAAAACAAACCCAACCAAATAAATCAATCAATCAATAAATAAATCAATCAATAAATAAAGACCTCAACTGGAACCGTAGACTGTCAGGTACAAGCCCTGAGGTAGGTGTACATGAGAGCCTGCATTTCCACCTCACTCTGCTTGAGGAGAGGCAAGGAGCCCTCGTTAACAAAATTCAGTGTGCACCTGTGCATGCATGGGTGCTTATGTTAACACACAGGTAGCAGGAAGTTCTGGAAAATGAGAGAAACAAATTGTAGTGCTACCTCTACACTACAAGAAAGACATTCTCCCTGGAAGAAATTAGGTCTATTTTCTGAGGGTAATGGGAACAGGAGTCACAAGATCCTATTTTGTTTTCTGTGTATTCGAAGGCTCAGCTGGGGGAGGGGGTGGGCACCCACAAGCATGTGCATGCATACAGCGTGCATAAGAATGTCTGTGCCTATAATATCTAGTCCAATAAAGCCCAATAAGGCATAGTTTTGAGTTACCTTTAGGTTTTACCATGCTGATTAAAAAAAATTTTTTTTTTGTTTAATCTTAGGGAACAAATCCAGGACCGAGTGCCTTACTAGGTAGACTACACTCACCTATATTCCCTGACCTTACTTTTTGGAGACAGAGTCTTGTTATGCAGACTAAGCTGACTGCCAATTTATGTTATCTCTGCCTCAGACTTCCAAGTACTAGGATTACAGGTATGTGCCACACCATACCTGGCCTATAGTTAAAAAAATTTTTTTTGAGACAGGATTTTGTTTATGTAGCCCTATCTGGCCTGGAACTTTGTCTCCTAGGATTAAAGCTGAGCACTACCACTCCAGGCTTCCACCCAGATTTATAGGCTGTTTCCCACAGGCAACTAGGTAGAAACCAAGAGCATTTGAATGGGAAACATTAGACACACAACTAAACAGCTTTGATGCACTAACATTTTTTTCTGGCTTATGGCAAACTGACACTCCACTTCCCAGACCACTCTCAGGTCGCCCACTGTGGCTTACCAACTGCATGCTTTCTGTCATGATTGTTCAAGTTGTTCAAATTGTTCACTTCTACTTTGGAGTCTTCAATCAGGGTGCCAGGGCTAGTGACTCCAGGGATATTGGGCAGGTGGCAAGGCGGGGTCTGTGCCATGGGAGAATTGCGGCGATCCAACAGAAATTTCCGGTCATAAATGATTCGGGTTCCTGGAAAAGAGGATCAAAAGTTACAAATAAATTAAGGGGCTACCAACATACAGCACTACCCAGTGTTCAAATTGCACCTAATCATGAAAGGTGACACAACTCAAGCCAAGAGGACAGACAATGTACCACCGTGTTTGGGGCTCCTATTTATGGATCAGTCTGTCTATAGACTTCCAGCTCCTTAGGCCAGTACCATCTTTCTTGTATATGACCCACACCCTAACTTTTAACATTCTTAAAAAAATTTCTAACTGAAGAATAAACACATGAAGAGGCAGATTACCACCTTCAGCTTAGGGGTGATCCAAAGGCACTCTGAGGCTGCTTCTTCCCTAGAGAGAATGAGGTAGAACTCCATATTCCTTAAAACATGACAGTGGGATGCCTGGAAGGGTGGTGGTGGTGGTGTGTGTGATCCCTGGGGTGTGTGTGTGATATGCCTGGAAGGGGTGTGTGTATGTGTGCGTGCGTTCATGTGTGTGCGTGTGTGTGTGTATCTGCCAATCTGAGCTCTAGCCCTGGGTTCCACATGGTGGAAGGAGAGAGCTGACTTCCCAAAGGCTGCCTGTGACATTCTTGCAGAAGTGTCACGTGCACACCCCCCATACAATAAATTAAAATGTAATAAAACAATCTACTTCCTAGTCTGGTAACCTGAGGTTTTATAAACAACAGTTTTGGAGAGTACACAATACCTGGTAGAATTTGGAAGCCTGCTGCTTACAAGTTGCCAACAGAGCTGGGTGGAGTGGCTTATAATTTCTAAACTTGACTCAGGCCGTACTGCTGAGAGTTCCAAGCCAGCTTGAACTACAGTGTGAGACCCTACCTCAGTTCTCTGCTAAAAACCAAACAAAAAACCCCTACAACCTTAAGCCCCCCAAACAAAGTTGCCAAAAGGTGTATTAAAAGGTGCTCAGCCGGGTGCATGCCTTTAATCCCAGCACTCTGGAGGCAGAGGCAGGCAGATCCCTGTGAGTTCAAGGCCATCCTGGTCTACATAGTGAGTTCCAGGACAGCTGGGTCTACAGGGAGACCCTATCTCAAAAAGACCAAAAAAGAAGAAAGAAACCCCTGAAAAGGACTTCCCATTATTTTTGCATCTTCAGAAATGCAAATCAAAACCACAATGAGGGGCCAGAGAGATGGCTCAGCAGTTAACAGCACTGCTGGATTTGGTTCCCAGCACCCACAACATGGTGGTTAACAACCATCTATAACTCCAGGTCCAGGGAATCTAACACCCTCTTTTGGCCTCTACAGGCATGCACTCACAGGTACACTTACATACACGCAGGCAAAACACTCATACACATAAATACATTTTTTTTTTAATGAAATAAACCAACCACAGTAAGATCAGTTCACACCTGGAAGGAGGCTATTATCAAAACCACAAGAGATAAATGCTGATCAGAATAAGAAAAGGGGTGTCTTGAGGGTGTGAATACATGTGTGTGGGCATGCACATGCCATGGCACACACATGGAGGTCAGAGGACAACTTGCAGAAGCCAGTTCTCTCCTTCACAATGTGGATTCTGGGGATGGAACTAAGGTTGTCACGTTTAATGGCAAATGCCTATATTCACTGAGCCATCTCAATGACCCCAAATTTCTTGATGGTACATTCAAACCTATTATTTAATAATATACTATACCGTTATAACTATTAATATAAAAACTGTATAATAGAGTCGGGCGTGGTGGCGCATGCCTTTAATCCCAGCACTTGGGAGGCAGAGGCAGGTGGATCTTTGTGAGTTCGAGGCCAGTCTGGTCTACATAGTGAATTCCAGGACAGCTGGGGCTACAGGGAGACCCTGTCAAAAACACTTAGAGTCAGAAGTCATTTTTTCAATCCTGGCTTTTGGTATTTTTTTTTTGAGGCACAGTCTCCCTGTAGCCCCAGCTGGCCTAGGACTCCCTATATAGACCAGACTGGCCTTGAACTCACAGAGATCTACCTGCCTTTGCCTTTCGAGTGCTGGGATTAAAGGTGTGCACCACCATGCCCAGCCTCGAAGTGTTTTTTAAAAAAATATTTACTTAAAAAAATGTTTTATTATTTTTATCTTATGTGTATGAGTGTAATGCCTGCATGTATGTAAGTGCACCCATGTCATGCAATGCCCAGGGAGGTCAGAAGAGGGCATCAGATTCCCCTGGAACTGGAGTTATGGATGGTTGTTAGCCACCATATGGGTGGTGGGATTTGAACCTGGGTCTTCTGCAAGAACATCTAGTGCTCTTAACCACTGAACCATCTCTCCAGCCCCATTTTTATATATATGAGTGTACTGCCTGTATGTAGGTAGGTGCACCCATGTCATGCAATGCCTGTGGAGGTCAGAAGAGGGCATCAGATCAGATCCTCTAGAACTGGAGTTAGGACAGTCCTGGGTCCTCTGCAAAAGCAGCCAGTACTTTTAACCACTGAGCCATCTCTCCAGCCCCCTAGTTTCAAAATGTTAATGGTGAATTTAAAAAAGATGTCCTTAGTTTTAACCTCTATTAATCACAGCAATTTTTACAATTGTTTTATTATCAGTTGTTGATTTTTTACTGAGCCTAACTTACAAATGAAGCTTTCTCAGGGAGATATACAGTGAAAAACAGTGCCCAGGGTTCATTGCTACCCTGGTCCCAATCATCTGTAGACAGCTCTGACCCATCCCCAGGGTCAGGAGAGCTGACATAGGACATAGCACATTTTATCACCTTATCAGCTGATGGACAGTTGGCTGTTTCAACACTTCCACTGATTTAAATGTTCATTACAGGTTTTAAGGTGGACAGCCATCCTCCTGTGCATCCACCCTGACAGTGGAGCTGCCAAGTCACATCCTAAATATTAAAACTTCTGCTATTTCCAAAATGGCTGCAGTGCTCTACATTCCTGTCAGCAGTGTGAAGCCTCTAATTTCCACACAATGCAGCTTACACTACTATTATGTTTGAGGTTAGCCATCCTAGTTGACAGGAAATGGTTTCTCCTTATAGTTTGATGTAATTTGTATTTCCCTGATGGCTAATTATACGGCACTGCTCTTCCTGTGCTTACTGGCCATTCCAATATACATCACTTTTGGAGAAAAATGTATCCATATCCTTCACCCATTTTTAATGGGCTTTTTACTAAATTATAATTACCTGCCCCCATGTGCAGATTGAATCCAGGGTCTTGTCCATGGTAGGCTCACACTCTACCACTTAACCCCAGTCTTATTCTTTACATATTTAGACTCAAATCCCTTATTACATCTGCTTTGTAACCTTTTCCCTGTTTTGCTTTTGCTTCCTTGATGGTTCTCATGTTCTCTCTCTCTCTCTTCTGCAGCACTGGGGATTGAACACAGGGCCTTCTGCTCTAGTTGATGGTACTCTTGGCTGGCCTGGACCTTGCGGTGGTCCTCTAGCCTCTGCCTCAGAATGCTGGGATTATAGACCCATGCCACCACTTCCAGCCTGTTTTCAATTCTGCTGAGATTTAATTTATGTTTGTTGTTATTGCTTGCATTTCTGATGCCATTGCTTAGGTCAACCAAGGTCAGAAAGACCTATGTCTGTTTTCTTCTAAGAATCTTACTGATGTTTTTTGGCTGAGCCAAGAGGGCTAAACTCAAGGGTTTTTTTTTGGTTTTTTTTTTTTTTTTTTAATTTAATTTATTATTTTTATTTTATGTGTGTGCATGTATTGCCTGCATGTAAGTAAGTGCACCCATGTCGTGCAATGCCCACAGAGGTCAGAAGAAGCTGTCGGATCCCCTGGGACTGGAGTTATGGACAGTTGTTAGCTGCCATGTGGGTGCTGGGATTCGAACCCGGGTCTTCTGCAAGAACAACAGTGTTCTTAACTGCTGAGCCATCTCTCCGGCCCCTAAACTCAAGCTTTTATGTGTGGATATGGAGCCACACAGGCACTAGCTGCTGAAAAGGCAGTTCCATGTGAATTGCTCTGGTACCCTTACTGAAGATTAGTGGGCCGTAACTGTAAGGGCTTATTTACTTCTGGGTTCTCATTTTTTTCCCAGCAATCCAAATGCCTGCTCATAGGCAAATGCAAAACCTACATTGTCATGATTTGCAATAAGCTTTGAAACCAGGAAGTGAGAGTCCTCCTAAGTTTGTTTTTCCTTTTCTAAGGCTGTTTTGGTTATTTTAGGCTTCTTAAAGTTCCACATGAATGTTAAGGTCAGGCCCCCAAAGATGCCAGATAGAACTGTGAAGGGAACTGCACTGAATGTCTGCATTATGCTTAACTCTTGACATTGAACCCATGAATGTCAAATATCTTCTCCACTTCCATAGGCTCCTTTAATTTCTTCAACATTAAAAAAAATATTACAAGGTGGCATGGTGGCACATGCCTTTAATCCTAGCACTTGAGAGGCAGAGGCAGGTGGATCTCTGTGAGTTACAGACCAGCCTGGTCTACAGAGCAAGTTCCAAGCCAGCTGGGGCTGCAGGGAGACCCTGACTCAGTGGTTAAGAGCAATGGCTGCTCTGGCAGAGGACCCAGGCTCGATTCTCAGCATCCACATGGCAGCTAACAACTGTCTGTAACTCCAGCTTCAGGGGATCTGATGCCCTCTTCTCACCTCCTCAGGCACTGCACGATATAGGGGCACTTACACACATGTAGCCAATACACTCATACACATAACATAAAAATAAATAAAATATTTGTAAAAATACATTTACTTATTCTGTGTGGGTATCATGTATGTATGTATATATGCACCTCTGTGAGGTTGACCATGCCACAGTATACCTATAGTGGTCAAAGGACAATTTAGATGAGTCAGTTTTCTCTTTCTATCATGTGGGTCCTAGAGATCAAACTCAAGTTGTTAGGCTTGGCAGCAAGAGCCTTTTACCAGCTGAGCATTCTTGGTGGCTCCTCAACATATTGTAGTTACCAATACCAAGGCTCAGGGTTTAAATTTTTTTTTTTTTTCCTCTTTTTGAGACAGGGTCTCCCTGTAGCTCCAGCTGGCC